CTGTGGCTTACCATGGCTGCCTGCAAGCCGAAATCTGTTGCCTGGCACTGCGTGAGTGATCTCTCACACGAAACCGGCAGGCCCTCAATATATGAGGAAAAATGCAACCTTGTAATGAAAGCACATGTGCTCTGTAATGTGAACAGCAAAATTTAACGTGAAAGAGTGTACCCATTGTTCTCTAAAATGTCTTTTTTAACCTCTCTTCTCCTCCACCAGCTGCAAATGTTTCTCCTTCACAGAGGCTAGTGAAGATTAGAAGGAGAAAACAGCGGACTCGGGATGATATGTTCACGGAGCTCCAGATGTCCTCCCACGCTGAAAGAGCACAGCAGAATGCGTGGAGGCAGTCAATGTCAGAGTGCAAAAAAGCACAGTATGAACGAGAGGAGAGGTGGCGGGCTGAATTGCGGGCTGAACAGAGTAAGTGGTGGGCTGAAGATGATAGGTGGTGTCAGCTTGCAGACAGAAGGCAAGAGTCAATGCTCCGGCTGCTGGAGCATCAAACTGATATGCTCCAGCGTATGGTTGAGCTGCTGGAAAGGTAGCAGGAGCAGAGACCTGCTACAGCCCCTCTGTAACCAACAGCCCTCCTCCCCAAGTCCCATTGCCTCCTCACCCAGACGCCCAAGAACACGGTGGGGAGGCCTTCGGCCACCCAGTCACTCCACCCCAGATGATTTCCCGAGCATCAGAAGGCTGGCCTTCAATAAGTGTTAAAGTTTTAAAGTTTTGAACTGCAGTGTGTCCTTTTCCTTCCCTCCTCCCCCACCCATCCCGGGCTACCTTGGCAATTATCCCCCTAGTTGTGTGAGGAATTAATAAAGAATGCACGAATGAGAAGTAACAATGACTTTATTGCCTCTGCAAGCGGTGCTTGAAGGGGTGAGGGGAGGGTGGGGTGGTTGGTTTACAGGGAAGTAGAGTGAACCGGGGGCGGGGCGGAGGGTTCATCAAGGAGAAACAAACAGAAGTTTCACACCGTAGCCTGGCCAGTCACAAAAATGGTTTTCAAAGCTTCCTGATGCACACCGCACCCTGCTGTACTCTTCTAACCGCCCTGGTGTCTGGCTGCGTGTAATCAGCGGCCAGGCGATTTGCCTCAACCACCCATCCTGCCAAATGTCTCCCCCTTACTCTCACAGATATTTTGGAGTGCACAGCAAGCGGCAATAACAATGGGGATATTGGTTTTGCTGTGGTCTATCTGAGTCAGTAAGCTGCACCAGCGTGCTTTTAAACGTCCAAATGCACATTCCACCACCATTCGGCACTTGCTCAGCCTATAGTTGAACAGGTCCTGACTACTGTCCAGGCTGCCGGTGAACGGCTTCATGAGCCATGGCATTAAGGGTTAGGCTGGGTCCCCAAGGATAACGATAGGCATTTCAACATCCCCAATGGTTATTTTCTGGTCCGGGAAGAAAGTCCCTTCCTCCAGCTTTCGAAACAGACCAGAGTGCCTGAAGATGCGAGCATCATGTACCTTTCCCGGCCATCCCACATTGATGTTGGTGAAACATCTCTTGTGATTCACCAGGGCTTGCAGCAGCATTGAAAAATACCCCTTGCGGTTTATGTACTCGGTGGCTTGGTGCTCCGGTGACAAGATAGGGATATGGGTTCCGTCTATCGCCTCACCACAGTTTGGGAATCCCATTGCAGCAAAGCCATCTGCTATGACCTGCATGTTTCCCAAAGTCATTACCCTTGATATCACCAGATCTTTCATTGCCCTGGCAACTTGGATCACAGCAGCCCCCACAATAGATTTGCCCACTCCAAATTGATTCCCGACTGACCGGTAGCTGTCTGGCATTGCAAGCTTCCACAGGGCTATCGCCACTTACTTCTCAACTGTGAGGGCTGCTCTCATCCTGGTGTTCTGGTGCTTCAGGGCAGGGGAAAGCAAGTCAGAAAGTTCCATGAAAGTGCCCTTACGCATGCGAAAGTTTCGCAGCCACTGGGAATTGTCCCACACATGCAACACGATGCGGTCCCACCAGTCTGTGCTTGTTTCCTGGGCCCAGAATCGGCGTTCCACACCATGAACCTGCCCCAGTAACACCATGATTTGCACATTGCTATGGCCCGTACTTTGTGAGAGGTCTAAGTCCATGTCAATTTCCTCATCACTCTCGTTGCCGCGCTGCAATCGCCTCCTCGGCTGGTCCTGGTTTTGCTTTGGCATGTCCTGGCTCTGCATATACTCCAGGACAATGCGCGTGGTGTTCATAGTGCTCATAACTGCCGCGGTGATCTGAGCGGGCTCCATGATCCCAGTGCTATGGCGTCTGGTCTGAAAAAAAGCATTAAACTGATGGAGGGAGGGAGGGGCGAGTGACAACATGGCGTACAGGTACAGGGAATTAAAATCAACAAAGGTGGCTGTGCATCAAGGAGAAACACAAACAACTGTCACACAGAATGCCCCCCCCCAAAGATTGAACTCAAAACCCTGGGTTTAGCAGGCTGTTGATTTCACGGAGGGAGGGAGAAGCAAATGAATACAGAACAAATCTGGTCCATCTATTTTTTACATCTTAAGCTGGCAGCAGACAGTGCAGCATGACTGATAGCCATCGGAATCTTCTGGGTGCTTGGCAGAAAATGATGTACTATGACTGCTAGCCATCATCGTCAAGAATCAGATGCCCAGAGTGGAAAGTTTGGTGCAGTATTTCTTAGAGGAATCTGCTGAAGAACTTTCCCAAGTGCCTCTGATTGAACTCACTGAGGAGTACGACGATGACGGATACCAATCGTAATACACCATCCACTGCCAAAAGGCAATTAGCTGCTGCGTAGCAATGCAGCCCCACGTCTGCCAGCCCCACGTCAGCCAGCACCCAGATCGCTGATGATGGCTATCAGTCATACTGCATCGTCTGCTACCAAAAGTTAGCTGCTGCTGTGTAGCAAGGCAGTACAACGTCTGCTGGCACCCAGAGGACATATGGTGACGGTAAGCTGAGCGGGTTCCATGCTTGGCGTGGTATGTCGTCTGCACAGGTAACCCAGGTAAAAAGGCGCAAATCGATTGTCTGCCGTTGCTCTGATGGCAGGGGAGGGGCCTAACGACATGTACCCAGAACCCCCCGCGACACTGTTTTTACATCATCAGGCATTGGGATCTCAACCCAGAATTCCAATGGGCAGCGGAGGCTGCGGGAACTGTGGGATAGCTACCCACAGTGCAATGCTCCGGAAGTCGACGCTAGCCTTGGTACTGTGGATGCGGTCCGCCGACTTAATGCACTTAGAGCATTTTATGTGGGGACACACACAATCGACTGTATAAAACCGATATCTATAAAACCGGCTTCTATAAATTCAACCTAATTTCGTAGTGTAGACATATTCTCAGTCATTGTCTTACACAAATTACTAAGATCCATTGTACTTTTAATTATAATTTTGATTGTTCAGCCGCAGTCACCACCCAATCAGCATCTTCACTGACATGAGCTGTAAATATCTAAGGGACACAGCCCTGAGCACCTGTCCATTTGCCTTTCTCACCACAGCTGGATTTCCATTTCTGGTCCCAGGTGTCTGCTCCCCCAGACTCTCCCAGGCCCCCTGTATTTGTCACTAGATCTCCTCCTGCAGCCAGACTGGACAAGTCACCTGAGAGCCTTGGAGACCGGAGATCTCTGGTTAGCCCATCCCCTGTATAGCGCAGGAGCCCCAGCGCCAGTTCCCCTCACACCCGCTGCCATCTGCAGAGAGCCAGGAATCCCGGAGAGCTGGGGAAACTGTGCAGGGAAACAGAAGCAGTAGCCACCAAGCTAAGAACAGGTGTTACAGCTGCTCACTTGGCCAGCACTGAACCAGGGACCCCTAGAGCTCTCTGTTTATCCCACACCCTGTGCAGTGCAGGACCCCTAGTGAGAGATCACACAGGCTGCCCTTGGCCGTTGGGTCCCAGACGTCACCGGGTGGGGAGGAGCTTGGTCTCCGTACACCACTGAGTCTCTGGTCTCTGCTGGGACTGACAAAAAGGGAGAAAATGGGTGCATGCCTTGCTGGGTGTGGTTGTGTTACAGGATTACTTGCCCCACTAAGGCCCAGGCTGAGATCCCAGCACATTCCACAAGCCCCTGAGCTGCCATCAGATGGACTTTCAGCCTCTGTCCATGTGGTGGAGGGGTAGGAATTGGGTTATTGCCCTGGGGGAGATTTACCTGCCCACAGACAATTTTAACAGTTCTAAAGCTTTAACTTTTTGAATCTCAGTGTCCAGTGTCATGAATTAGTTATTGTCTGACCAAATTATTTGTCTGATCCCCCCCTAATTTCCCACAGCTGTGAACATTTAAATTGGTAACAATTGGAATGAAATGCTGAAACCCAGATTGTTGTGCAACTGTGAAAGTTTAAATCAATAAATATAAAAATTGCTTAAAATAAACATTATCTGTCAAAATTATATAGTATAAAAAAACAGAATTTCACCAAGTCTGACTATCTCTCCTTAGGCTACATCTTCACTACGGGGGGGGGGGGGGTCGATTTAAGATTTAAGATACGCAAATTCAGCTACGTGAATAGCGTAGCTGAATTCGACGTATCGCAGCCGACTTACCCCGCTGTAGGGACGGCAGCAAAATCGACCTCTGCGGCTTCCTGTTGACGGCGCTTACTCTCACCTCCGCTGGTAGAGTAAGAGCGTCGATTTGGGGATCGATTGTCGCGTCCCAATCAATCCCCGAGAAGTTGATTTCTACCCGCCGATTCAGGCGGGTAGTGTAGACCCAGCCTTAGACACACAGACCCTGCTCCTGCAGGCTCATCCTCACAGGGGGATGTGACATCCATTTGAAACCCCAGTGACCCTCCCCACCAGCACAGGGGCTGATTGCAGGGCCAGAGCCCTAGAGGTACATTTTTCACCAAAACCTCCAGGGCTGTAATGTTACAGGTGGGGCCCTTCCAACTGAACAAACAGCCTGAGTCAGTTCCAGGAAGGGAAACACCCCCTTGCTGCTGCAGGCCGGGCATAGTGTGAAGTCAGGAAATTGAAACTTACACTGCCCAGAGGGAGCCATGGCTGCAGAGAACCCCATGGAAAGTCTTCAGGAGGAAGCGACATGTCCAGTCTGTCTGGAGTATTTCACAGAACCTGTTATTCTGGAGTGCGGGCACAATTTCTGCCAAGCCTGCATCAGCCAGTGCTGGGAGGGATCCGATACAGCCGCTTCCTGCCCTCAGTGCAGAGAAACTGTGCAACAGAGAAACCTCAGGCCCAACAGGCAGCTGGCAAACATGGTAGAAATCTCCAAGCGGCTGAGTTTACAGGCAGCAAAGGGAACAGGAGGGGACGGGGTGTGTGGGGAACACCAGGAGGATCTGAAACTGTTCTGTGAAGAGGATCAAACCCCAATCTGTGTGATCTGCAGAGAGTCCCGGGCTCACCGCGCTCACACTGTGATTCCCATACAGGAAGCCGCCCAGGAGTACAAGGTACCGATTTTCTGTCCAATCTAATGGGTAATAACTTTCTATTTGAATTACAGGTTAATGGCATCACAAGTTTCCTGAGATAGATGTAACTGTGTCATTCAGCTGTGTGTATCCTTCATTGCATGAAAGATACTGCACAAATTAATGATATTCCAGCCTGGCAAGAAAGGCAACAGAAAGATTTAAAAATTGTCTGATGTGGGAAAGTTTTCTCTGAGCAGCAGAATCCTCTTCAAACCCAACTCCCACCAGTGAAATAAGGGAACTGTCTGCAGACCGGAAGTTATTAAATGACCAGTGAGGTTTGATTCACAAGAGCTGTAGGCCAGTCTATGTGAGAGTGCTGCCTTCAGACTGGAGAAGGGGGCGTTACAAGCTGTGGCTATTATTATTGATTGTATCACAGTGTTTATTATGGTTATTGGCATCCCAGCAGCCCCTACAGACCCCAGATGAGATCTGACCTCGATTGCAGAGGGCCCTGCACAAAACCCAGTGAGGGACAATCCCTACCCTGAGCCATTTACAGTCTAACTCAGGGGTAGGCAAACTATGGCCTGCGGGCCACAACTGGCCCACGGGACCATCCTGCCCGGCCCCTGAGCTCCTAGCTGGGGAGGCTAGCCCCCTCTCCCCTCCCATGTTGTCCCACCCCAGTCTAACTGGACAAGAGAGACAAAAGGTGGGAGGGAAAACTGAGGCACAAAGAGAGGAAGTGACTTGTCCAAGATCACTCAGTAGGTCAGTGTCAGAGCTGGGTATAAACCTCCATTTTCCCAAGGCCAAGTCCAGTGCCCCAACCACTAGACTACACTGTCCTCCTCAGCAGCACTGAGCAGTGATGAAGTGCACCAGGAGGAGGAAAAGACTTCTTGATAAAAGCCCCAGGCTCAGCAGGGAGACGAGGTTTCCCACTGGGATTCTGAACTCCTGTGTTGCTCCATGAAGGGTTAAAATCAGCTGCTGCCGGCCTGCACTAGAGGAGATCACTGGGCTAAACGCTGTGTGGACCCCAAGCACCTAGAGGCCACACACAAAAGGGCTCCAGACAGCTCAGGTCCATGCCAAGTACCACTGGGATTAGACTGGATTGTAGCAAAACTAGCCACAGGCAGGAGCTGACCGGTGCCAGCCTGACCTGTTCTAGTGTGTACGTGGGCAAGGAGCAGCCAAAGTGGTTCTATTAGTCCCACCACGCAGCCTTTTGAACTCTTCCAGAATCCACTGCTTCTGGGATCTTTACCAAGGAATGGGACAGTGGGGATCTACCCAGAGCGCCTTGTCACTGAAAGGGTTTAGGGCAGCACTGGGGCAAACCCCAACAGTTCCTTATACAAATCTGCCTAATTAGGGGGGCCACTGAGGCATCCCCAGAATATAGGACATCCCAAGCCTGCCTGCATGGGCCCTCCCGCACCTGAATCGGTCAGCCTGCATGGGCCCCCACCACCTTTGTCAGCGTGCCCCCACCTGCATCATTCTGCATGGAAGTGCCACACCCCTGCCCCCACCCTCACTGGTGTCCTCCTGCATCCTCGGTCTCCTCTTCCCTCTTTTTCACTGGACAAAGCCTCATCCAGTTCTGAGTCCCTACCAGACAGGGATAGTGCTCCACAAAACTGGGACTGTGCAGCTTCAAACCAGATGAATGGCCTCCGGACGTCTCATGGGGTTTGCCCTGGTGCTTAAACCAGCTCCGCCCAACCAGTGCAGTCCCCAGGGTTTCAGGGCTGAAATCCCGGCTCCTGTTGAAACCCTGGTGGCTTCTGAGATTTGTATCACTTTGTTCATTAAACCTCAAAAACAGATTTATTGATTCACCCCCATGTGACTCCAATGTCCTGTTATGCGCTATACCACTAATCAATTCACAAATACCGATAAAGCTTTGTTATGATTGAGATCTCTGTCTAATTACTAAAAAGACTGAATCTGAATTGGTAACGAGTCTGATGAATATGACACACTCCCAGTCTGCATTGATAAGGTTTAATCTCCTTGGTGGCCCTGATGTCACAAAGCGATTAGGACCAACAGTCATCTTGGATGAAGAAACAAAAAGCTCCACACCCCTCACAACCATTCAAATTAAAGTTCCCAAATAATGTGTTTCTTCAGGAAAAAATCCAGACCCAATTGAAGAGTCTGAGGGATGAGAGAGAAAAGCTGCTGGGATTGAAAGTGACGGAAGAGGGGAAAAGCCAGGAGTATCTGGTAGGTGCCTGTTGTTATGAACCAGCAGAGACTGGCAATGGGAGGTCTGTTCGGAGGCAGACTCCAGTGTGGCCTTCGTGAATGTGGACTTGTGTGTGTTTCTCCATGATCATGGATTGCTGGGTCCCCGTGAAGTACTGTCCACTGTGTCTGGTCATTTTGTGCATTAACATGTTTGTTTCTTTTTTCTCCCCTGGTGTCTCTGTCAGTGTAGTGCTGAGTCCTGCCCCCTGCTGCTCTGGGTCTGAATTTACGGAGACCATAAATAACAGAATATGCTAACATGACAGTCATGGAAACCTCCCTTTCAGAGATATATGGGCTGAAGGGGAAGCTGTGAGAAAATCCTCTCCCCAGGGTAAAGTCAAATGTCAAAAATCAGGATTTTCAATGAAGTTCTCCCTCCTGCACACTCAGCTCTCCATGAAAGGACCCCGGGCTCCATCCATGTCCCTGACCAGCCCTTTTCCTATTTTCATACAGAAACAAACACAAACCGAGAGGCAGAAAATCGTGTCTGAATTTCGGAAACTGCGGCAGTTCCTGGTGGAACAAGAGCGACTCCTGCTGGCCCAGCTGGAGAAGCTGGACGAGGAGATTGTGAGGATCCAGAATGAAAATGTCAGTAAACTCTCCGAGCAGATTTCCCGTCTCAGTGAGCTGATCAGTGAGATGGAGGGGAAGTGTCAGAAGCCAGCGAGTGAATTCATGCAGGTGAGACAGGAAAAAAGAGAGGCACCAACTCCATGGGTGCTTAAGGGCTAGAGCACCCATGGAAAAAAATTAGTGGGTGCTTAGCACCCATCGGCAGCCAGCTCCCCCCACTGCCCCCAGCACCTCCTGCCCGCTGATCAACTCCTCCCCCTCCCTCCCAGCGCTTTCCACCTCCCTCTATCAGCTGTTCCACAGTGTGCAGAAGGCACTGGGAGGGAGAGGGAGGAGCGGGGATGGGGTGCGCACAAGGGAGGTGTCAGAAAGAGGCTGGGGTAGGGGGGGAGGGGGGGCATGAAGAGGGAGGGCGGGGGTGGGGCATTGGGGAAGGGGTGGAGTGGGGGCAGGGTTTGGGGTTGAGCACCTCCAGGGACAATTAGAAGCCAGTGCCTGTGGTTAGAAACATCCCAGATCCCCACACAGGGAAGAGAGGGTTCCTCAATCATAAGCACTGGGGCCAGCAGTCAGCGATCTCAGTGTAACTCGGCGTGTGCATTGCTGACATGTGAATGACTATTGTTCTTTGGAGAGTCACAAACACAGAGATATTAGAGATGGAAAAGCCCCATTAGCTCAGGGAATCCATGGCCCTGGGGCAGGGGCAGGGCCTCTTTTCCCCATATTTGAAAAATCCCTTCCCTGGGATCCCCTGTGTGCATCAAATGGAACTGAGATTCCTTCCTCTCTCTCTCTCTCTCCCTCTCCCTCCCCTCTAGGATGTCAGAAGCACCTTGAGCAGGTACATGGCTCTCTCCCACTCCCCCTCACACTTCACAATACTGGGAAAGAGCTTGATGGTGATGTTAGCACTGCATCTCCCCAGGGCTCTACAGTAGAATGTGTGGGGAATATTACATGTTGGATACGAATCTCTCTGATCAACTTCATCCTGAGTTTCTCAACCTTGCACAGAAGACTCTGGAATTATCCATTCAGTGGGAACGACTGACCTAAAGTATTTCCTAGAGATGTCACCTCCCTGGGGGACTGGCTGCCTCAGGATAGTGGAGATGGAATATGGGCCTGTCACTGCTGGGGCCCTGGTTACCATTCAGCCCAGGGCAGCAGTGGTCAAGAGTCTTTCCCACCTGAGGACTGTTTGGAAACCTGTGTGGAATGAACTGGGGAGTGGGGAGTTGTTGCCTCAGTCTAGTTCAGGGGTCTCAAACACGCGGCCCGTGGGGTTCTTTCATGTGGCCCGCCAAGCTCCCACACCCGCCCCCCCTTCCCCTCTGCCTACCCCGTGGCGCTGCGAGCCCTGCGGCGCCACAAGCCCCGCACCACTCTCTGAAGCAGCTGGAACTATGTCCCTGCAGCCCCGGGCAGGGGGTGGAGGCTGGGGAGTAGAGGGCTCCATGCTCTCGCTTCCAGGCACTGCCCCCCGCAGCTCCCATTGGCCGGGAATGGGGAACTGCGGCCAATGGGAGCTTTGGGGAAGGTACCTGGAGGAGCAAGAGCAGCACATGGCGCCGTTCCCCCATCCCCCCCGGGACTCCGGCTGCTTCCTGGAGCGGAGTGGAACAGAGTGGAGCGGGTCCAGGGCAGGCAGGCAGGGAGCCTTCCCTGGCCACGGTGCGCGGTACTGCCACCCCGCAGCCACTCTAGTAAAGTGGTTCTGGGCCGGAGCCCACACCTCGCACCCCAACCCCCTGTAAGGAACCCCCTGCCACATCCCACATCCTCCCACACCCCAACTCCCTGCCCTGAGCTCCCTGCTGCACCCTGCACCCTGACCCCCGCTGCACCCCTCACCCCTCCTTCACCCCACACTCCAATTCCCTGCCCTGAGCCCCTGCCGTACCCTGCACACTTCCTGCACCTCAACTCCCTGCCCTGAGCCCCCATCACAGCCTGCACTCCTCCTGCACCCCAACCCCCTGTCCGGAGCCCCCTGCCACATCCCAAACCCTCCTGCACCTCAACTCTCTGCCCTGAGCCCCCATGACACCCCACACCCGTCCTGCACCCCCTCAGGGCAGGGAGGGAGCAAAGTTGGGGTGAGGACTTCAGGAAAGGGGTTGGAATGGGGGCAGGGAAGGGGCAGAAGAGGCGGGGCAGGGAAGGGGCCTCATGGAAGGGGTGGCAAGGGGGCAGGGACAGGGACAGCAAGGGGTGGGTGTCAGTGATGCTGCCCTCGGGCCAATGCACTAGTCCTCATGCGGCCCTTGTGGTCATTTGAGTTTGAGACCCCTGGTCTAGTTCCTAGGGGACTGATTTCTACAGCTGGGAGAAGCAGAGGAATTCTAACTCCAGTCCCATTAAAGCAGCGACGCCCTAGCAACCAGTTATAATGAGTCACACAAAGAAATGTAATCACGTTAAATTCTTTCTCTCCAGGTGTGAGAAGGGGAAGTTCCAGCAGCCAGAGGAGATTTCTCCTGAACTGGAAGAGCAAGTCAGTGGTTTCTCCTGGAAAACGATTGCGCTATTGGAGACTCTGAGGAAGTTCAAAGGTACCTTGGAGGGATCTAGGAGGGGAAACTGGGATCAGTATCTAACTGTGGGTAGAGAATGGCGCTGGTGTATTGGTTCATAATTAGATTATGCTGCTATTTAATTGTTGGATGAGAATGCCACACACTTAGGGTTCAAGACACTCAGACTGATTAATTCAACCCCTTATTTATTCCAAAAGCATGCCTTGCCATTACAATTACTGTTAAAGTAAGAAATGACAGACATACTGAAATAAATACTGCCCACTTACCTTCTCCTGGGGCATAGGCAGGTCATGACGCATTCCTCCTATTATGCTCCGACTACCCCTTACAATGTCTGACATATTATACACATCCAGATTATATATTTATTAGTTCTTTTCCAATCACCTTTGTGTGTTATTCATTGTAAGTATCTTCTAACTGGCAGGACTTTTGCTGTCCAAGCTATTTTCAAGTTATTCTCGTTTCTGATTCGTTCATTACCAGTCATTACACACTGATGTTCATGGGTCACTTTGACCCTTTTCTCCACATGGGATTTTTTGGACTTTGCTAACTGCTCCTGGGCAGTACATTTTGCGTGTCTGCTGTCTTTAAGCACATTGAGGTCAAAACATCTCTTTGTCCTACATAGCAACTTATGAACACATCACTTAATAACACGGTCACTAAAGGCAACATTTCCCTTATGTCAAATACGATGATTTCTGAAAATCTTATTTCATTGTATAAAAGAAAAGGTTCTACCAATCCCAAATGATCGGACACATTACCTCCCAGGTTAACAAATGTTTCAGATCTTACCCAAATATATGCTACAGCCATTTCTTATTAACTAAACTAAACTTTATTAAAAAACAAAAGAGAGAGAGTATGGGTTAAAAGATCAATATACATACAGACATGAGTTTGATTCATTGAGGTCCAGATTCATAGCAGAGATGGTGAGCTTTCTAGTTGTAAAGAGTTCTTTCAGAAATAGTTCATAGTCCACTGTCCAATATCACCTTCAGGGCGTACCAGCATAACTGCGACCTCAGTCTTGACACTCAAACTTCCCCTGATGAAGCCTAAGCAGCTCTGAGATGACAGAATCAGGACCCAAGGATCTTCTATACAATTTCATGCCATTTGACAAGTTGGGAGTTCAAAAGGACATTGGTTCCATTGCTGGGAGATGCCTGAATGAGAGCGGAAAGAGATTTCAGACCTTTTTACATTAAATACCTGAATGTGTCTGTCTGTTTCTGTGTCATGATGAAAACACAATTCTAGGAGTTCAGAGTGGTGATGCTGTTATAAATATGAAGCCTGAAATCTCACCTCTCTTATCCTTTCCCCCTCCAGACACTCTGCTGTCTGCACTGGAGAGAAAAAGAGGGGAACCACTCGCAGCACACAGACAGGGTGAGATTGCAGCCTCTTCCCAGCGCTGGCCCCTCTCTGTGGCCCCACCTGTGCTCCACTTCCTCTGAGACCCTGCTCCCTGGCCAGGCCAGAAGCAGAGCCAGGCTCCCACCCAGGGAGCCCAAGCAGAACTGGGGAGCCCTGCACCCTCCACCTGCCCTGGGTGGCACGCTCCGGGGAGTGGGGATATGGGGTGGGGACTGCTCTCACTCGCATGGGTGGCAGGGTTGTAGAAATTTTGGTGGTGCCCAGAACCCACTCCCCACCACCTGCCTAAGGCTGTGGGAGGGGGGTTGGGGTGGGGGGAGGAGGTCTGGGGTGCAGGTCCTGGGTTGGGGATTAGGGTGGCAGGGAGGGGGTGGCGAGGGTGCGAGGTTCTGGGATA